TCCCCGATATTGGCTGTTGGAGTGAATACCTGAGGCAAGCAGAAAATAAGGAGCAAACAGCAGCTTTCCAGCACTTTGTAACTTCTGATTTAGGGAGGTTGTGCAGGAAATTAAAACCACTAAGGAAAAAGCCATTTTTAACAGCTTCAGAAAGAAAAAGTGATCTTGGCCTGCATGCCAAGAAGGTAGGCAGGCTGGCTAGGTACCTGGCAGATCAAACCCAGTGGGTAACATGACACAGGAGTTATTGGGAGAATGGGAAGGTAAAACCTGCCCAAGGGCTCAGGGTGCACAAACAGTGGGAAAAACTGTATTTTGTAAATCCATCTCTCCTGCTGACTTGCACGATATCGTAGCCTTTTACCTCTGCCCCCCTGGGACACTGAGAGAACCCTGCTTTTGAAGTCTCAAAAGCCTGGGAGCATGTGAACTTCTCCTAGCCTGGTGGTAAGAAGACAACTTGCCTTGTCACAACTCCCCTTTCACAGCTGGCCGTGCACGGTAGCAATATGGAGACAATGAAATAGGCCCTGGCCTCACTGCATGACCAAAAGATACCTCTGCATAATCGCCAAGTGACAGCTAGTTCCTGAAAGCAACTGAGAAACGTCGGGGGAACAGGTCCCATCCTGCACCACCAGACCCACGGTAAAAAAGTAATTGTGAACAGGTGATGATAAAAAGAGTGTTTTCTTCTGGGGATGGTATTTTTAACAAAGGGTCTGGTCTTCAAATTAAGGCCTCCAGGGGTGAAGTAGATAAGGACCACAAGGGCTGTTTGGAGGAGGAGGATGCAGCTGCCGGGAGGGTTTGGCTGGGGAAGATGGGCTCATGTGAACCATGAGTATCTGCACACAAATACCAACAGGATGAGGTCTGTATCCGGGACAGCCGTGATGCTGAAAGGGGTGTAGGGGTCGTATCAGACAAATAACACAACAGCAGGAAGCCCTGGGAAAAAAGGACAAATGCAATTCTTCTTGTGTGCAAACAGAAGAGCAGGGAAGGGAAGGGAGGTTGACCTCCTTCTGCATATCCAACTGCTGGAATCCATTGCTGAATGGTGCACACAGAGCTGGAGTATGTGAATGTTTTAAAGGGACACTGAAAATTGCCATAGAAAATGAGAGTTTTGCAGGCTTTATAATGTAAGAGCTACAGAGCTCTTTTTGGCTTATTGCAAGACTGAATCATGGTATATAGGTAACCATGAGGAGAGGAAATACTGGGAAACAAATAGCTCTTTAATTGTGGGGCAAAAAGCACAAGAAGGACTAAAAATTGAAAATAAGTGCAATAAGAGACATTTGTTCCCTTCATAATGATTCACTGCTAGCCAAAAGACCAAAAAAGCATGCTGCAAATTCTTCACCTTGTTATATTACTACCTTTGCCTTGTCTCTCTCTAAAGGTCACAGCTAGCTTCATCAGGTGCTATGGAAGTTGGTAGAGCTACCAGAGCAGCTGCCACAAGCAGGGGTGAGTGAGAATGGATGGGTGTCCTGCTGGACATAAGACCCTGGGGAAGACATGCAGCCCTGGGTTCGGTGCCCGTCATAACTGTGCACACCTTGCGTTAAACCAGACGCTGAATGGCACCCGTGCACACTGAGCAGTCTCACCCCGTACTGCTCCTCTCGCTGGAATGAAAATGCCTCAAAGCATTTTGTCCCTTTTTTAGGTCATACTTTGAAGTGCCTTGTAGAGGAGGCGGGCTGTGGCGAGCAGCAAAGCCGACAGGCACTGTCTATCTCGCCTTTTTATCCTCACTTGAGTTTTAAGCTTTGCTTAGCATGATTGATGGGGCTCAGCTGCCAGGTTACAGGCACACAGTCAGCGTTAGTGTCTTTGAGAAACTCTGCAGCAGAACAGCAAGTGTCATTTGCAATCACAGCAGTCCCTCAATAATCCAATATAACTACATCAGAGAAAGGCTCAATTTCAGAGGCAGGGAAAATGAACATATCCTCAATGAAACAGAATTTTGTCTTAGAGTACATACAACCAGGAAGAATTTTCTGGGCCGTAAAAGCCTCCTACAATATTAGGAAGGAGGATGACATAAGTCATAGTCTTGCAAAAGAAGAGTTACAGCTTTAAGAACATGATGCAATTCATTTTTGCATGCAGAAGTGGGATCTCTGGCTCAATTGTAGTAGTATGCAGTTTTTTTTAATAGAAAACACAGATGTGCAATCATGCACAAAACTGTGCGCTCACGGGAACATCACTAGCCAGCAACAGAGCAAAACCAAAATGCCTTCTCTGCGAAAACCACATCTAGACAGCACTTTTTTTGCTCTTGGTGAGCAAAATAATCTTTCCATCTCAGTCAAAACAAGTAGTCCTCAGCCACAAAGTACTAAAGGATCAAAAAGTAAATTTGAGTGAAAACATACAATTCTTTTGCAGATCTTTTCTGTTTGGGCTCACCAGCCCCAGCTGCCTAAGAAGAGATGCAAATGGATCCTGGCAGATCAGCTGAGAAGAGCTCAAGATGCTCAACAAACTCCTAAAGCATCCCTAGGCCAGAGGAACTAAGAGTGGCGCAGCAAGCTGCGCTGTCACAGGGCCCTGTGCTGAACTGGCATACAGCTGCTTTCAAAGCTGGTAGAGGGAACCAGAAACCCCCTAGGAGGAGCAACGCACAGATCCAGAGCACAGAGAGGCGCATGTGCTCAAGAAGAAGCAGTGGTCCTGCACAGCCAGGAGCAAGGCTCTGTGCTCCTGGCTCTGTTTCCTAGCCCAGGGCTGGTTTTGCTCTACCTGGGTGAGAATGGAGCACTCCTTGGAGTGCTCCTCAGCTCAGACTGCTTTAGGAAACATTTGCTTCATCTCGCACGCAGAGGCGAGAAGCACAGTGAGACACATGTTTACTCCAGTATCCCAAGGACTTGTGTTCACAAGAAAGCTATTTCTGCAGGTCATCCAGACTCCTGGGATACAGGAGTTGGGAGGAGAATGAGTGCAGAGGTGATCGCACACTGCAGACGGCCCCAGTGTGGGGATACATGTGCATGGGATAAAGTCCTGACTGCAGCTAAGGCCCAGCCTAAATGCACTTGGCTCGGGATGCACAGACAGCAACACTGTCAGGTGCTAGCAGTGCTGGGTCACCCTGTCCCTGCTCACCCTGTGCTGGGCCAGGGGGTGTCTGAGGGGATCCCCAGGCACATTGGGACGGCCTGCTCCAGAAAGCCTGTCTGCACTCACCAGCTGCTCAGGGCAGGGTCATGAATGCCGTGGAGCCACCGGCCAGCACATGTGAGGACAGCCCGGCCATGGGTGGCGTGTGGTAACTCCGTGTGGGGAGACCGCCCCTCACCTGCCCTGGGGGTCCATTTCGTGCACCTCCTCCTTGGCACTGCCTGATGTGCTCCTTGGGTATGACGTGATGCTGGAGTCCAGAGAAGAGCCCTTCATGCCCAGGGACGTCTCCAAGGAGAGGGCCAAGTAGATCAGCTGCCAGATGCTGGTCTGCAGGCCCTGCTCCCAAACTTGCTCTGCCTTGGCAGGGTATCTCAGCTTGGGAGGTGAGGAGGCAGGGTCATCTGGGACTGGCAGGTTCCGTGGGATTACAGGCAGCCCCCTGTCCTGCAGGGATCTCCACCACTCTGGCGTGGCCAGACGGATCTTCTTCTTCTGTGGTTTCTGGCCCGTCAGCGCACGGGCGTATTTCAGGAGAGTGTCCACGTTGGCACTCAGCAGGGCATTAGTAGGTGAGAGAGAAGCCTGCACTGGAGCTGGGGAGAGAGTGGGACAGGGGTCTTAGAGCACTCTTCTGAGGCCAGCCAGAAAGCTACTGCAGGGGGAAGAGTAGCTATGGGAGATCGGCAGGTGAGCAGGGGTGTCCAGCGCAGCTCAGTGCAACTGTACCTTGTCCCGCAGGGAAGTTTTCTTCCATTGGCAAGGAGCTCACGGCAAGGGGTTGCTCTGTTGAAAGGAGGTGGTTATTTGAAGAAGACAAACTTCGACACGGGATTCGCTGAGCAGAGGAGAGAGGGAAAAACATGAGTACCGCTGTGTTATCTTCCCTTCCTCCTCAGCCCTTCCATCTCCCAAGAGATACTGCCCCCCCACCCCCCAGTCCCAGATGCTGCTCCCCACCTTGGTGTAGAACTGGCGTCTGAAGCAGCGGTACTGGGCGAACTGGCAGAAGGACTGAAACCATGGCGCCTGCAGGAACTCAGAGCAGACTGGCCCTGAAAAGGGGTGAGAGAGAGAGATGCCGGTTGGGGGCAGGCTGCAAGTTTTGGCATCTGCCCCCTCGGCCTGTGTGCAACAAGAGATAGGGACCTCTTGGATGGCTCTTTTCAGAGCGGCTTGTGGTTGAAGTTGAAAGCTGTCTGCACCCAAGTGAGGAACACAGCCTTGTGCAGCTCCTAATCCCAGGTGCCATTTGCACTTTCCCTCCAAACCACCCAGGGTTTCAGTTCATCCTTCTGCCCTTTTTCACACAATTATTTTCCCTTTTACAGAGACCCAAACCTCCTGTTTCCAGGATCTGATAAAGACTCTGCTATTAGTCCTTGAAGGGTTTAAAGAAGAAAAAAAAAAAAAGGCAAATAGTGGTGTGATGAGTTAAAAAGGTGACGGGACCAGGACTGGGAACACCAGAGGAAACAACCTCTTCAGGTTGAAATAGTTGACATTGATTCTAGCCATGCAGGGAATGGAGGAAACTCCATAGGACTGAGATGCTGCTGGCAAGGTCTGTGCCTGTACACACGTGCACCCTAGTCTTGACCAGTACTGCTAACGCTACTGGCTCAAAAGCTGCAGCCCTTCCTGCAGTGATTGGAGGATAGCCAAGGTCATGCAGGACACCTGAAAACCCTGGAAGATTTGGGGAGAGGTTAATCTTGTGCTCCCTCTGCTCTATGAGTGCATGGCTCAGCTAGCACAGCCAGCCCTTTAATGCACACCAAACAGGTCAAGCACTGGCTGAGACCGAGGAGGTTAGCTGTGGAATTGTGCTGCCCTCCTGTTCATTGCTTGTACACCATCTTTTACACTGCATGCACTTCTTCTCTTGTGCTGAGCATACGTATTCACCAGCAAAAGCAGAATTTCAGGTATCCACCAGGATCCCAGCCCAGAAAAACACCTAACTTGTAGGGAACATGCAAGATCCCCACCCTGTCCTTTGATGATGCCCTATGAAATCTCTCCAGGATGTGTGGGACACGGACTCAGCCAGTGCAATGCCCATGCACATGGACTGGGAGCTGCAGAGCTGCATTCTATCACACAGCCA